CACCTTTCAAATTTGTAGCATAGAAATAGAATTAAAAAAAAAAACATTAATTATTGCAAACCAAAATTTTTATTAATTGAAAGTGGTATGCTGTACAACTTTTTTCCCCTTTAAGACATTTCATACTATATACGTGGAAAACTGAGTAAAAAGCCTAAAATTCTTAAACCAATATAAAAATCAATGATCATTCAAATCAAAAGTAATATTTATCCCGTACTTTTGGCTCCTAAAATGTATCGAAAATAACAATTTTATTTTTAGCAAGTATATTCTATTTTTCTTATTAAAAAATGGTTTACCTTTTGATATGCAAAAAATATGTGAACTAGTTACAAGATATGAATAACATTTATTTTATAGAAAATATTTTATAAAATTAAAATAAAAATTATGATTATTAATTCTCTTACAATATGTTATGAACAGAATTAGTAATTATTTGAACATATAAGCAATATAAAATTTTATGAAATAATTAGGAATGATGTAGTGCTATTTTTTTGTTAATTATTTTTATCTCATTAGACGGTATGAACAAATCTTGACCTGTTGTTGTTAGTACTTCAGCCTTCCAAATGATCTGTGTTTTATTTACTTTCAATATCAAAGGCTTCCGTGGGTATGAGTATGACAGTGAGGGTCCATGAGGCTGTAGAAAACTTATCTTAACTTCTTCGTAGCTTATATTTCCATCTAAAATACATCGTATCCACCATTGGCTGTACTGCAAAATAACAACATACCCTCTTGCTTTCAGATGAATTTGAATACATTTTCGTTTTAATTGATGTGTGGCTTTCGTGTCTGTTTTAATTGATTTTTTTGTGTACCAGAGATTGTGTGGCTTTTCAAAAAAGTGTCTCTATTTCTCACAATAGTAATATGATTTAATAATACACAAAATTTGTTTATTGATGACAATATTAAAAAGTATAAATAATTTACTCTAATTTTTATTTCATTAAAGTTTTTTTTAAAAATTTTTTATAGGATTGTTTTGTGTTGAATGAGTATCTATTTTTTTTTCTGAAAAAGTTATGTATGAATGCTGAAACATGAAGGAAGAAATTTTTTTTACAGTACAACTGAATCGTTTTATGTTAAAAGGGCATTTATTTATTTATTTATTATGCTTTGTTTAGAAACATAAAGAGACCAAAGAACATCTTAAGGGATTGTGGATCTCATTTCAAATCAGCTTAAATAAATAGAATTAAATTGTTTGTCATTATTTGAATTAACAGTATTTTTATGTGCTTACATGGTTACTACTACTTTATAGCCTAAAATAATAATTTTTTGTTTTGTAATCAAATGGAGAAGTGTATTATTTCTTCTTAGTCTAAATCAACTACAGTTTAAATGGTAATAAAAAGTATATTCAATTCTTAATTTATTTACCATTTGTATCAATGTTAATGTACTCAAAGTTTGGTACGAAATAAAACCTAATATAAAAAAGAAGCTGTTTTTGTACATAGTCTTAAATAAAAGCAACAAGTAAAGTAAAGTTTCATTTTTTAATAACGGCCATTCACACTGATTTTCTATTTTTCATACCGCCTATTTAACAATTAATTTAACTGATTCGATGAAGTTGTCATTTTTTCACCTCATTAAAATATCAATTTGCACCTTTTGCAACGTGTTAGATGTAATTACAGAACACCCAGTTTGATATACAGTAATTTACGTGATTATTAATGAGGTAATTTTTTCAATCAAATTTAAACTTAAATAAGATAAATAGCTTTTTTAACAGCTAAAATTTAAAAATATCATTTTTTAACTTCTTGAAATTACTACGTCTCTTTAACTCTTCAAAATTATGTTGAAAAATTATGATGTTAAGCATGATATAAAATGTTTCATACCTTTTAAAATACACTTCTTTCTCTAATCATTAATGAATAAAATACAAATAATATTTATTTCTTAAAGGAACTGCAAAATTAGTTTTGGACAAATGATTTTTACTGTAATGTGAAAATATTTTTAAATTCTTGAATTTAACTTCATAGATACGACGGAAATGCGAATTGTCATTGCATTTGTGCTCAGATTCTCGACCGCTCTTTTGACTGAGCTATTGCAAAAAGTTGCATAGATTTTATAAATTCTCATTTCTTTTAAGGTAATCAAGAAATATATAATTTTATATTATTTACATGTATTATTATTTTATTATATGTATATAATTTTTATATGTAGTCGGATGGATTAAATTATTTATAATTAAATGAATTAGAAATAAATTAACCTTATTAATGTAATAAAAATATTTCAATATTGAATTCATCTTTAGTAATTTATTTTTAAAAAATAAAAATATAATATTTTTAAAAAAAATAAAAATATATTTAAAAATTAAACTATTATTTTTACATTATTATTTGATATGCTTAATACTTGGAATTACATTAATAAATTATTTTAAATTGAATTATTAAATAATTAACAATGAATTGATACTTTAGTCCCGAGTGGGGATCGAACCAACGCCAGTTAAAAGCGCCCACAGAACATATGGTCGTTCAGTCTTATTAAAAACATATGGTCCAAAACAGGATCTATATAGATAAAAGCCCCCACCAGTCTTATCAGTTATTCAAATTAGTTACACCTGTTTCCTATACGTTCAAGCAATATTATTTAAACCGTGGCGTCATCGAATTAGTACTTAAACAAGATTTTAGATATTTAGTTAGTTGAAATATATTTTCTGTAGTGAGTGGTTAGAAAGCAGTGATTACACTTGAAGATGGCCAAACGTGAAAGATCTGATAGTTCTTCTTCAGAAAGCAATGTAAGTTAAAAATTTATTTGTGTCTTATTTTTATAATTTTTAAAATATGAAGTTCTTAATTAATATATATTTTTAATCTATTTTTTTCACATAGTTTTAATTTTATATTTTTACACTTCCCTACAAAAGTGTATTTTGCATTAACTAGATTTCTTTGTGTTTTATTTTTAAAGTTCTTATTTATTTATCATAATTTTAATTTTATATGTCTACAGTTGCATACCAACCTAAGTTTTGCATTAAATAATATTATTTGTGTTTTTTTTTTTTTTTTATCTATTATAGTTTTAATTTTATTTTTTACATTTCCTTAGCAACAGTACGCTTCAATTAAAAAATATTATTTGCGTTAAACTTTTATTTAGCTATTTATTATTTTTTTTTTAATTTAACATAGTTTTATATTCCTACGTAAGCCTCCAAAAAAGCACACATTTTCCAGTAATTAAAATTATTTATGCTTTTTTATATAGCTGTCTCTTTTATATAGATATATATTTAAGATTTTAATTATATTTTTCTATGCTTTTATTTTTAAGACACTCTTCGCAGACTCTGCCTTTCCCATGAACGATTCTGATGACGAGGTAAAGAAAAATTATTAACTATCAGATTATTATTATTTTTTGAAAATTGCTTTTAAATATATTTAGTATTTGTTTATCTTAATTTTTATTAGTTGTTTATGCACGTGGATGACGTTTCTCTATCAACGGAAGAATTTGAAGATCCTGATATACCACTTAGTGATTCAGATGATTATCTCGTACGTTATTTACTCAACAATTTGCGTTAAATTTAATTTTTTTTTTGTATTAATTTTGTTTTTAATATTTTTTAAATCGAAATTATTTTTTTATACGTTAGTTCAGGGACGAGCTTACTCAAAGTTTTGTGGACGCTTCCCAAATATTTAGGAGTTTGCCAGATAATATACAAGAAGGCTTTGGCTTAGAAGTAGTAAGGGATTCTTTTATTTTGCCTTTTGTTTATTTTTTCTTTCACTTTTTTTTTAATTTAATGCTATGTATTTGTTAAAAAAAAATAAGATGATATTCTTTCTCATTGTTAGAGGGATAATAAATGTTGAATCGTGCAGGCTCCGTAAACATTCAATTATAGAAATTGATTATGATGATGAAGGACTTTGCTGCGCTAAGGCGATACTTAGAGCCATAGCTCATGTGGATCAAGACAAGAAGGCAATAAATGCTCTCCGTGATAAACGGCGCCCTGCTTTGAAGAATAGAGCCATAAAGCTACACGAAGATGCCGGCGTACCAATAGGCCCTTGCACCTATGCAGAAGTCGCTAAATTTGAAGCAGTTTTGGACACTCAGATAGTAGTATTATCCTCATCAAATGAAAACCGAGTAAGTACTTAAATTACATTTTAATTATTTGATTAATACTTTGTACTTATCATATCCCTATATTGAATACGATCATATTTATACATTGATTATTTTTTCGATTAATAGTTAATGATGGTCTAATTTCATAATATAGAAACTATGTTTTTATTGCTTAACTACTTTAATGAAATCAATTAAAGTGAAGTTAAATTTTTTTCGTTATTTATATTTTTAAAAATAAGCATGATTTTAATTACGGAAAATGTTTTAGATGGCTTACAAGAGTGACGCAAATCGAAAAAGAAGAGTTAATCTGTGGTATCATAATGGACATTATGATGTAATAACATCGTTAAAAGGCTTTTGCGGATCTAACTATTACTGTGAGGGTTGTGAGAGACCGTACGATCATGAAGAAAATCATTTTTGTGAAAATGTGTGTCATATATGCCGCCGGAAAGACTGTCGACCACTACCTGCCGTTAATACAAAACGATGTGACGACTGTGATAGACTGTGTCGTTCGGAGGAATGCTATATTAGCCATAAATCAAAACAGGGGAATCAAACGATGTCAATGTGTGATAAAGTAAGTACATATGTATATTATTACTGTTTTTAATGCTCATCGTGAGAATTTTCTTAACTAGGTTATTCACATAAATGAATGTAAATATATATATTCATTATTTTTATTTTACAGTTATATCAATGTAGAGTGTGCTCAAAAGTTATCCTACGGAAATCGTGTCCTCGTGAATCCCATCGTNCCTAAAAAAGTAACGAAAGTACAAGTAAAAGTACTAAATTTAAAAAGTAACGAAATACAAGTAAAAGTACGTACTTTTTACTTGTACCGGCGGTACAAGTAACGAAAGTAAAAGTACTGCCATATATGGTCCCGACGCAATCAGATGGTTGGATTTCATGGCTGCCGATCAAGATCTGCAGATTGATCACGCTCTAAACGGTAGAGGGGAAGTAAAAATTGAGGGCATGTCTGTCGATGGGTTTTGCAGAAGAACAAACACAGTTTATCAATTTCATGTAAGTATTTCATTAAGTCTTGTTTTATTAAGTCTTGTTTTATTTATGTTTTTGTTATTACTTTATACTGAATTTATACATTTATATATAGGGCTGTTTTTTCCATGGTTGCCTGGAGTGTTATGAGGGGGACACAATACACCCATTAAAAAAAGTAACCATGACGACTCTGAGAAAGAAGACGAGTGAGGCAACCGAAAAATTAAGATCAAAAGGTTACGAAGTCTACGAGCTATGGGAACATTCATTTGAGGAAATGAAAAAGAAAATTCCTGAACTACGCGATTTTGTGAGAAATCACGAAATGAAGGAAAGATTAAATCCACGTGATTCCTTTTTTGGAGGACGTACGAACGCCATTCGACTTTTTTATGAGGGAGAAGCAAAGTATGTCGACTTTACCTCTTTATATCCTTGGGTAAGTCAATGTTTTCATTTTCTATGCAAATGATGTATTTTTTATATATTGTTTTTAATTATTTTTATTTTACAGGTCAATAAATATTGCGAATACCCAATTGGTCATCCCGAGATATTAACTGAGAAATTTGAAGATATCCACAATTATTTTGGGATAATTAAATGTAAAGTGTTTCCTCCCAAGGGACTTTTTTTCCCCGTTTTGCCATATAGAGCTAACGGAAAATTGATGTTTCCGTTATGTAGGACATGTGCAGATAGTCTATCTCAAACAGTTTGTACCCACAAGGACGAAGAAAGAGCTATAATTGGCACTTGGGTGACTGAAGAAGTCAAGTTAGCAGTAAGCAAGGGTTACAGAATAGAAGAGGTATTTACTTATAATACTTTTAGTTTTTGACCAAAAAAAAAAGTTTTTTTTTCTTTTATTGATTATTTTTTTTCCATATTATAGATTTATGAAGTATATCATTTTAAAAAAACATCTAAAGACCTCTTCAGATCATATATTGATCTTTTCTTAAAAATCAAGCAGGAAAGCAGTGGTTGGCCTCGAGACTGCATAACTGAAGAAGATAAGCAACGATACCTTCAACAGTATTTTGAGAAAGAAGGGATACAATTAGATCCAGAAAACGTAGAAAAAAACCCTGGTCAAAGACAGGTCTCAAAAACTTCTCTAAACAGCTTCTGGGGAAGGTAAATTGTTTTTTCATTTGTTTCCATTTTTTTTAAATGTACATATAAAATGTTTATGCTTAAAATGATTATTTTTATTCTTAGATGGGGGATGAACCTCGTAAAAACTCATCTAACTTTTGTTAATTCATTATCAGAATTCAACAAGATGTTGGCAGATACAACAAAAAAGGTAACAAGGAAAAATATTTAATAGTTAAAACATAGTTCATAATTTTCTTTTGTAGTTACATTCTATTTAATTTTGTTCCTTTTCTATATATTTACAGATCAAAGACATATATTTTCCCAGCCCCCAGGTAGCCGCTCTGCAATGGGAGTCCCAGAGAGAGTTCATCAATCAGGACACCTCCACTAATGTATTCATTGCTGCTTTCACTACTGCCTGGGCAAGGCTAAAACTGTACTCGGAAATGGACAAATTGGGGGAGGCTGTTCTATATCATGATACAGATTCCATTATTTATGCAAGCAATGGGGACAATGACCCACCTATCGGCAGCTTTTTAGGTGATTTTACAGATGAATTAGACGGCGACGTTATCACCTCATTTGTATCCGGTAAGTATAATACATTCAGTTGATTTTTTTACGAGGCCTTTAATTTTTTTCAAAAATAGTTTTTTATTTATTATCATTTTTTTTTTATTATTAGGAGGTGCAAAGAATTATGCTTACACTACTAAGAGTGGAAAAACTTGTTGCAAAGTTAGGGGTTTTTCACTGAATGCAAGGAATAGTGAGCTACTCAATTTCGAGTCTGTGAAACATCTGGTTTGCTCGTTAGATAAGGAAACTACGATTCCAATTCATAACCCCTCCAAAATCACACGTCAACCGAAGAAGAAGAAGGTTATCAATACAGAGGAGACAAAAAACTACCGGATCGTATACAACAAAAGAATTGTCAATCCAAATGGGTATACAACATTACCATACGGCTATTGAAGCGAAAGACGAGTCTATCATCTATCCCCATACACACACAAACACACACCAAAAAAAAAGGTCCTTTTAAGGACCAAAAAAACTACACCACTAATATATATTCATCTTTATTTTTCAGAGGGGGTAGAGAGTAAGTATTTTTTTAAAATTTTATACTTTTGTAAATGAGATTTGTTAAAAATCAATAAAGACAAATTTTCTTTTAAAAATGATTTTTTATTTTCTTAAACATACATTTTTGCATAAAAATTTACACTGGGAAAGATTTTAATGTTTTTAATATTTCAGCCATCGGTTTTT